ACATAATCCTGAGTCACTGCAACTGTCATAAATACATAACAGTAGCCAAGTGTCCGAATTTTGATCATGTGATCACAAAGGTATTACAATGATCATAAGTGTGAAAAACGGTCATAAGTCACTTTTTTCAGTGCTGTTGTAATGTTGAATGATCACTTAACAAATGGTTGTAAGTCAAGGACTACCTGTATAATCTTTCTTAAAACCATCTGAAGAAAGGATTTCATAATCAAATATTCTTTTTACCTCAGAAGATCTTCCAGCTTCCGTATCTTCTTGTGTGATTCTATTCTCTCTTTATCAAAATCACTTTGAATTTCATAAATCTAATTTTTAAGGAAAAAAAAAGATAAAGTGGAGTTAATTCTAGAAACCATGTGATGAGTGACATACCCACTATCATTCGGATTTGGGGCTATTCAGATTAGCTCTATAACTGCAATCTCTGCAGACTTCAGAGTTTGGAAACTACAGCAAATGAAGAAGGCAACAGACTAAGTATTAATAAGTAGAAATCAATACTGCAGGACTTCACATATTGTAATTATCTGTCAGAAATACTCTAGTACATTCTACACTATATAGACTCTAAAACCCCTTCCTATTACAATTTTATGCTCTAACTCAGTGATGGCGAACCTTTTAGAGATCGAGTGCCCAAACTGCAACCCAAAACCCACTTATGCATCATCGGATGCCGGGTGGGTGTGGCCCATTGGGTGGGTATGGCCCATTGGGTGGGCGTGGCTGCGGTGGTAACAGCAGACTGGGTGGGATTAAAAAGTTCAATCAATCAATTCCAACTTTGCAATATCTTTTTTTCCCCGCGAGAAGTTGAAATTGACTGATTGATTGAACCTTTTCTTTTTGCACACGGCAGCGGAGGCCTAAAGCGAAAAGGTTTTATAAAACCCAGCTGAAGGCCTAGGACTGGGGTGACAGCGCGTGTGCCCACAGAGAGGGCTCTGAGTGCCACCTCTGGCACCCGTGCCATAGGTTCGCCACCACTGCTCTAACTCTAACCTAATTGCAAGGTTTTATGGTTGCAATGTTTTTACTATTGCTGTTTAATAGTGAATTATTTTTGTTTTGTTGCACTGTGACTTTTGTTAAGGCTTTTTAGTTACACAGAAAATAAATTACACATCTAAAGAACTGTTTTGAACTACTACTGAAGTCATGCTAATAAAATTACATAACTATGTTGCTGTATGTAAAATCCTAAAATGTAACATGCTTGCACTGCCAATAATATGGACTTGAAAGTTCCTTTTCTCTTTTTGTAATAGCTGTTTTCCATACTGACAAACCACCTCTGCAGCTGAACAATGTCTTTTCGCAACACAAAACTATTATTATCAAAAAGCATGATTACTATTAGATCTGTACAGGTATGCTACATCTTTGAAATGTGACTACTGAAATTTGGATTGAGGATCTAACAAAACCATAGCTGTTTTCAGAATAGTGTTCACATTACCTCTACAATCAATGCTTAATTATAATAATCATGAAAGAAGCTAAATGCTGGTCACATAGCCAACTGTCTTAATAAAGTGTGACTATTCCATTTAACCTAGTTTTATTTAATCTGACTGGCAGGGACTTAAAGAATCCTCAAAGTTGCAGCCCTACTAAATCCTTGTCATCTTACCAGCTTCAGCTTTCAAAGGCCAGAGAAAGGTGATACTTTATGTAGTTCAGTTTTAAAAAACACAAAATTAGTAGTTGTCAATATTGATGTTAAAAAATTAAACAGTTGAATTCTAAATAGCAAATAAAATCTATTTACAATGATATTGGAATTCTGATAGTATGATTTAGCAGCATTCACTTCCTATCTCTCCCCAATTTCAAAGAAAATAAATTCAAAGAAACAAATAAACAGTTTTCCCAAAGATGCTTTTTCACGAGGCAACTGGACTTTCTTGGGGTTTTTTGTTAAGAGATTTCACTTTTCATTCAAGAAGCTTCTTCAGCTCAGTTTATTTCTAACGCACACTCTACCCAACCTGGATAACCTAACAATAAAAATTAACAAATTAAAAACTAATATTCAAAATGATATGAAAGTAATAAATCATTATGTATCACAACATTTTTATAATCACAGTAAAACTAAGATTAATACTGAACCTCTAAACCTGATAACCTTACTTTTAACTTTATTTAATTTCAATAAGATTATAGCAAATCTACTCTACCATCTAACTTTACTAACATTTTCAAAAGTTTTTAACTCTTTGCTCACCAAAGCTCTCTAGGTAGTTTACAATAAAAGGTCTGCTTTATTAAATAAATTTTCAAATCTTTTTTTAAATATATCAAAAAATGTTGGAATTGGAGCATGGCAGAGAACTCTATAACAGTGTTTTCAGCCTTTTCACAGATTGTACCACTTTTAGGATATGGCAATATTCGAGTACAACCAGTTGCCTAGCAAGATGTCAAAAACTTGATGACCAAAAAAAAAAAAAGAAGGAAAAAAGTGATAAAATACATGTAGTCCTTGACTTACAACAGTTCGCTTAGTGACTGTTCGAAGTTACAACGGCACTGAAAAAAGTGACTTATGACCATTTTTCACACTTTTGACCACTGCAGCATCCCCAGGGTCATGTGATTTACATTCAGATGCTTGGCAATTGATTCATATTTATGATGGTCAGAGTGTCCCAGGGTCATGTGATCCCCTTTTGCAACCTTCTGACAAGCAAAGTCAGTGGGGAAGCCAGATTCACTTAACAACTATGTTGCTAATTTAACAACTGCAGTGATTCACTTAACAAATGTGGCAAGAAAAGTCATAAAATGAGGCAAAACTCATTTAACAAATTTCTCACCCCTCCTCCTTTTATATCTTCTCCTCTTCCCCCCTTTTATACCTCTTCTCTCCCCTTTTTATCCTTTCTCTCCCCTCCTTTTATATCTTCTCTCCACCCTTTATATCCTCTCTTCTCTCCCCTTTCTTTTTATCCTCTTCTCTTCCCCCTTTTATATCCTCTCCTCTCCTCCCCTTTTATATCCTCTCCTCTCTCCCCACTTTTATATCCTCTTCTCCCTTCTTTTATATCCTCTCTTCTCTCCCCTTTCTTTTATATTCTCTCCTCTCCTCCCTTCTTTTATATCCTCTCCTCTCTCCCCCCTTTTATATCGTCTCTTCTCTCCCCTTTTATATCTTCTCTTCTCTCCTCTCCTCTCCTTCTTTTATATCCTCTCTTCTCTTCCCCCCTTCTTTTAAATCCTCTCCTCTTCCCCCCCCCTTTTTTCTCTTAGGGTGCACCTCCAGCTGACTGCTCTCCTCAAGGCTGCGTTTCTCTGTCTCTGTCTCGCTGTCCCCTTCTCTTTCCCCCATTGTCTTTTTCTTTTCTCCCTCTCCCACCAAAACCTGCTCCTTTTATAGCCTCTCCTCTCTCTCTCCCCTCCTCCTTTTCTCTTCCAGGTGTGCTGGAAGCGCCAATTATTTGTAGATGGGTGCGCTGATCCTGGGCTCTCAGCAGAACCCAGGCAACATCTCACGCAGCTCCAGCTGACTTTCCCACAAGCCTGTGTGCCTCTGCCGCCACTTCACCTCATCCACTTTTACACTTTTTTTACAATGCTTTTCAACCCGTTGTACGCGTACCACCTGCCAGGTGCCGATGTACCACCAGTGGTACGCATACCACTGGTTGAAAAGCCCTGCTCTATAATATATGATGCAAGTCTTGAAAAACATGCAAACAGGGTGGAGTATCAGGGAAAAGGGAAGTAGAGATAGTCCTCAACTTACAACCATTCATTAAGTGACCCTTTGAAAGTGGGCATGAAAAATGTGACACGACCATTTTTCACACTTAAGACCTTTGTAGCATTCTCATAGTCACATGATCAAAATTTGGCCGCTTGGTAACTGGCATGTATTTATGACAGTTGCAGTTTCCCGGGGTCACGTGATCATCTTTTGTGACCTTCTGACAAACAAAATCAATGGAAAAGCCAGATTCACCTAACAACTGTGTTACTGCAGTGATTCACTTAACAGCTGTGGCAAGAAAAATCATAAAGTGGGGCAAAACTCATTTAACAACTGTCTTGCTTAATAATAGAACTTTTGGGCTCAGTTGTGGTCGAGGACAACCATAGAAAACAAGATCCCTATCCTGTTGACTATGACAGGGGTTCCCAACCCCCAGGTCGCAGCTCACTAGCAGGCTGAGGCCTATTTGAAATTGGGCCATGCGAGTGGCTGGCCACAGTGGCCGGCTGGTGGATATTTGCGAGTGGCAGGCTGGTGGACACTTGCATGCGTGCACACCAGCCCACCACTCATGCAAGCGCTGCATGTGCATGTGTGCATGCCAGTCTGCTGCTCGTGGGGCCCAGTTCCCCTCTCCTCCCCCATGCCAGACTGCCAAGCCAGTAAGTTTGGGGACCACTGGACTATGACATATAAACAGAATCACAGCAAGAGAGGAGCTGGGACAGGTAGTGAGGGACTGCTTATCATAGGGCCTTAAACTCTAGCACCAAGAACTAGGCTCTGCCCTTAATAGAATCTGCTTTAATACCCTCTATAGAAAGAAACATAGGAAAATGAGGCAGATCTAGAACAAGGCATTCTAGACCAAGATCAGAGTTTCCACTGTAAGCAACCAATCACTACCAAATGAAGAGGGTATCATCTCATGGTTCCTAGCCATTGACACAAAAACCAACTCACAGACCTGAAGGGGAAGGCAAAGAATACTGAAGGGATAGGCAAGATAGTCCAGTTGAGAGACACCAGAATCTCAGTCTTATCCATATTCAGTCTTTACTGATGAGTAGGCAACTTATCAATGTGTCTAAAAGGTGTTACACATTCTCAGGAAAAAAGCCACTGATACCATTTGGAATACATGCAGTCTTTAAAGCCGGACTATCCGATTAGGCAATCAAGGAAAAGGTTATACAAGGGGGAAAAAATTACAAAAACAAAAGCAGCACTTTGGAGGGCACCTGCTGAACAAAGAAACATCATGGAATACACTGAGGTTAGTATAAATGAAAAGAATAACCACAGAGATATGACTGAGACCAAGATAAAGCACTGCCAGTGATGCTCATTGCCAGTAACCTTGTCAGTGATATCTGGTGATCAAGGCTCTTAAATATTGCTGAACATGATTTTTTAATATCTATGATATAAAATTCATTTTTATCTGAACTTTACTGAAACATAGCCAAGTGCTAATATATTTCTCAGACAAAATATAAATGTTCTGAAAATATCAGTTGGTTCATTCTTGCTCAACATTTATTTTTAGAGTTTCTACATTCACCAATTTTATATTCTCTCTGCCCAATACTCCCATATTATGGTTTATATAAGTAAACTTTTATGGTTTTAACATGATATCCTGTGTAGACAAAAAGTATTTCTTGATTACCTTTTTTTCATGAATTCTCTCTAAATCAGTTGTTTCTTGTAGAAACATTTGCTCTTGTTCCTGAAAATAGTTGAGTCAATAAAATTACCATTGTTATTATTTTCATCATAAACTAAAATATAATCCTAGAAATTATAAGTCTTGTATACTCAATGGGAAGATCAGTAACGTTAGAACAGGTAATAGATTCGCCAAGGAAAGGGTTGGGAAACTGAATTGAAAATCTCCTCAGTTCTAATCTCATATAAAAACTATGCATATAACCTTTTTGTTGAAAGTATGCAGAATCAATCTTGGGCCTTTTGCCTTTCCCCTTCAGCTTATTGGAAAGTTCTCCTTTTCCATCTCTCCTCATCTCTTTTTTTCCTGAGGCAGTTTCTACCACATCATTCCTTGAGCCTCTATTGCCAATGTCTCCCTCTTTTGAGGGAATCAGGGCATTTGTTTAAATGGTTCCACCCACTCCCCTGCCATATACAGGCATGTTAGCCTAGTAAGGCATATATATGGAGGATATGCAAAATGTGATAGCTATCCAGTACAGGTCTGCCTCAGCTGACCTGTTAGAGATTGTAATTGGAAAGTTATGGACTCCTGATATTGTAGAATTCTATATGCCATCTAATACAATCAGACCAAAGAATGCTGAAAGATGTAGGTGCAAAAAATTTGAAAGACCCCTGCTGTAAGAAATGAGAACAGAAGCCAAGAATGTTTACAATGTAGCACCAAGACAATAGATTTATGCTAATGCGCTAATTTATACAAATGTTAAGATAGACAGGATGATAATTTTCAACTTCACTGAATGCTTTTTCTTTTATTCCACTGATAAGCACACTTTTCAAATCATTTCAAGAAAAAAGAACAAAAGAAAAAAATCTTTAAAAGCTTTGGCCTGAAATAACAAAATATTATATTATTTTTCCTCAAAATATTGTCAAGGCCTCCAGCAATAGTCTCTGTCTCTCTCTGTCTCTCTCTCTCTCACACACACATGCACACATCTCCTTCCCTCGCCCCCTCTGAAAAAAAACAGAAAGTGCTCATCATTCTACTGAGTGAAAAATCAGGGCTCACCTGCAGTTGTTGTTGCCTTTGATGGTCTGATTCTACTAACTGTTGTTTTAATTGAGACACACACAGCTTTAAGTCCTCTATCACATCAGATGTCTATAAAGATTTAAAGAAAATAGGAATGTTGGTCTTCAATTCTTTTGGGCAGAAATAGCTATACTTTTCAAAATTATGCTTTAAAAGATAAAAGGAATGAAATACTCCAATCATCCCAGAAGGCATGCTAAGAGTCCCTCCTTTCTGGGACGTTTATGCAATTTGGACTGGACAGCAGGCTATCTCTGTACCAGCCAGTGTATTATGGAACAATGTCTTATTATTTCACAAAACTGCCACAGGCAGTCCTTGATTATGACCACTTGGTCAGCAACCATTCAAAGTTACAATGGCCCTGAACACAGGGATCTTCAGAGTTCCAGCCATCATAAAATGTCCCCAGTCATATGTTTGCAATCCAGGTGCTCTGAATCTGGCTCACAATTACAAAGTCACAACAGACTGCCATCACATATCATGATTTCCAATATTCGGTGAGCTTCCACAAGCAAAATCAATAGGGAAGCCCGTAGGAAGTTATAAGTCATGATCAAGTGAAGTCATCATTTGACAAACTACAATATGCTGTCCTTATTTAATTACAGGAACTGGCTGGAATTGCCATCACTAAGCGACAGTCATGTGACATCTTGTTTTACAACCATGTCATTTAGCAACAAAATTCCTGGTCCCAGTTGCTGTCATAATTCCAGGACTACCTGTAAAATGATTTTTTGTTGTTGTTCATCAGTCAATTCCATTTGATTGGCTGTGGTTGCTTATCTATGAATTTATGGTTTTTTTATACTTAGGCATTTGTATAATTGGTTTTGCTTTGTTACTATACTCTATATTACCTGCGGAGTTGTTGGATTAGTTAAAAAATATAATAAATACTTAAATAAAAGGCATGAAAGCTTTTAAATGCAAACTTTGTAATGTGATATAGCCACTGACTGGATACGCAATTTAGAGATGCTATCTGTTCAAAGAAACTGAAGTCTTTCTATGCTAACCTACTAGATATAGCTGTGGAGGGAGAGATGCTTCCAAAAAGGATGAATTGAAGTACATTAAGAGAGGATGCCAGATGCGGGTAATTCTCAACTTATGACCACAATTGAGCCCAAAATTTCCAGTGCTAAGCAAAGCAGTTAAGTGAGTTTTGCCCCATTTTACAACCTTGAATCACCACAGTTGCTAAGTTAGTAACACGGTTGTTAAGTGAATCTGGTTTCCTCAATGACTTTGCTCGTCAGAAGGCCGCAAAAGGTGATCACATGACCCCGGGACACTGCAACCATCATAAATACATGCCAGTTGTCAAGCATCTGAATTTTGATCATGTGACCAGAAAAACAGTCATAAGCCACTTTTTTCAAGGCCGTTATAACTGTGAATGATCACTAAATGAATGATTGTAAGTCAAGAACTACCTATATGCTCACAGATAACTGTTTGCTTTAGCCATAGTCTTTGAGTGATCTACTAGAAGTATACTCCCTTGGCCTCATATACTCCTGGTGTGCTTTAACTCAGAAAGGTGGCTGGAAGTGGATGATCAATTTATTGAGAGTGGCAAGGATATCATTCCATGCTGCACAGTAGAAGGCAACGTTAAGCCACGTCCGTATTTTACTATGAAAACCAAATGAATAGACAAGATAAAGTGACTGAGTGTCAGATGATGGGCCCCTTGGGTCCAATGCAACTTAATATGCTATTGAAGAATGTCTGAGGATCTTTCAGTACACTAGTGATGCTTTTGATGTAGCTAGATTAAAGCTTTTCAGACATTTAGTTGATGTTGCCATGCAGGGAAAGACAACCCAAAGCTACGAAGACAGCACTGCAATGGGAGCATGGAAGGTTAAAAAAATATGAACGCAAGAAAGTTCAGCACAGTGAAATATAAAATAAACTGACATCTTATAAGCCATCAATCAACTGAAACAGACTGGAACTGGATATATTAAGTCAGAATATTAAACTGTTTACTACTCAGAAGACCAAAAAAAATGACACTGCTTTCATAATAGGAAGGATACAGTAAAGACAGTACATTATGGATACAAAGTAGTCAATGATCAAATAATTTTAATCAGTTTTCACAGACAGCTCTCTATTATGGGTATTTTAGGTTTCAAAACAAAGACTTTATCAAAATTAATAACCAGATCCAAGTATAATTTGGTAACATTATTTCAGGGAAGAAAGACAGTGTGATAAACGTAGCCAAACAATCTTCAGAAAAAAGGAGAAAAAAAGAGAGGAAAGGTAAAACCAGCAGATAAGGACTAGAATGGCAGACCATTTTAAGGTATGTCAGGTGAGAAATTCTGAGAAATGTTTAACTGTCAAGTATGAACAGAACTATACTGCTAAGTAAGAGGTTAGTAGGATAAAAAATTACCAATATATTAAAACATTGATATAATTAAAATGTGGTGATAAAATGCAAAAGGTGTACAGTAAAACAATAAAGTTCTACCTGGAATAATTTTAGTATGATTTTTATTATTTATTTATCACATTTTTATATGACCCATCTCACCTAAGTGACAGGGCATTTTACAGTAAAAAATTAAATTTCAGAAACATAAATAACAAGTAAACACACAAGAAAAAAGGATAGGAAAAAAATGAATCAGACAAGAAGCACGATTAAAGTGTGAAAACAAGAAAAAAGTAAAAAGAAGAATGGCTTCTGACTTTTAGCATATAGATATAAAATAATCCAACTCTTGCTCTAAAGTAAAGAATAGTCTATCTTACTTCCATAATCCCATATAATTCTAAATAATCAAATCCCAAAATCAAAATTATATTTCTCTTAGTTTCTTGCAAAAGTCCAAAAGTGAAGTTCTACTTGGAATAATCTGAGCATAATTGATTGTGCTTGTTTAAAGCTTTGTAACTGTCTTCTATACTCATAATTTAAGGATATATAAAGGTCTGAGAGGAAGTAAGTATAGTAATCATCTGTTGTCTCCAGCACTTGTAGTAAAAAAGAACTATAATGTTGTTTTGAATATTCTTGTAGAAGTACCAATGGGAACACATTGTGCCCAGCCATTAAAAAAAAAAACCCCTTTCCTCAACTTAAGACGAAATGAGAGTATACTCGAAGTTCCCAGGGACCTGTATCTAGTAGGATTCTGGTGCTTTGAGACTGTGAATTGACTTCAGACAAATATTCAACATCATATCACTTAATCTTTGCAACATGTTTCCCTGCCATGAAGAGAGAGGATGGGAGTATTGTGAGAGTTTCCTCACCATTCAGGAAACCAAACAAACCCCTCAATCTCAGCCTCAACCCTACCTTCTTCCTGCCCACTGCTGCTTGCGCAGGTAGTCAGCTGCAGCCCGGAGACTGGAGGGACCAAGATGGAACGGCTGTAGTGACAGGAGCGAAGGCATGGCAGAGATGGGAGACTGGCAGAGGTTGAAGTCAGCACAGAGAATCAACCCAGCATTGGGACCCACCCAGAACTTGTTTCTACCCTACTAGCCAGCACAAACCCCTGGCCACAGATTGGGGGCAGCAGAAGCAGAGCCAAGCCAAAACTGTCATTTGCAGCACTGAGTGACATGATCAGGACAAGGGATCAATGGGAGATGGGCAGCAGGCCCAGAGTTTAACACAGTGTCTGTCGGAAGGGGATGCAGGCCTGGAGGCTGCACCAGAGCATGTGTGCTGAGGGAGGAAGGCCAGAGAAGGCATAGCCAGAGGAACCAGCCTGAAGTCATAGCTGGAGCCAGCCCAGAAGGACAAGAAGGGGAGACTGAAGGCAAGAACTGGCCAGAAGCCCAGAGAGTCAACAGGAGCCTTGGCAAAGAAATAAGCGGCACAGATCAGAGTCTACAGACTAGGAGGAGGAGTACAAGACCTAAAGACCAGAGATGGGTTTGGTGACATCTTAAAGGAAGGCCAGGCCTGTGTCGGCAGAACACCCAATAATGCTGGAGGCCAGGGTTCAAGGCCAACATGGAGCCCAGAAGTGTAAATAACTTGAAAGATGAGGCCAGACCATCTGAACAAGAATAATGGCAACAACAGGCTTCCTCTAGGGTTGACAGAGAGAAGCTGATGGGTGATTGGGAGGGGGGCACAGGAGTCCAGGGACCCAAGGTGATAGTAGGTTAACCTCTAGGGTGACAGCATAGGAGTCACCTGAGAGCTTACCTATTGTATGTTTGCAACCCTCTTGTCTGGATATGAGATAGGCAGGTAGGGATATGAATGTGGTCCCCGTCCAAGCTGGACAATGGGAGAGACCATCTTGTGGTGGCCACATCGAGTGTCTATGGAGTTGTGAAGATTGAGGACTCCCAGAAGCACTGAGAGCTACAGCCAAAGTGGCACAGGAGTATTGAATCGTTGGGTGAGTTGGTAGACTGGCAGAATGGCAGGGCCAGTAATACCCAGTGGGTCAGGGAGGTAGAAGGGGATAGAAGACCTCCTCACAGGGTTTAGGATGGGGCAACCAAATCAATGGTGAAAAGCAGGGGTAGAAATAGGAGCCAGAGGCCAGGCCATTACAAAGAAAGGTACCCCTGATGCTTAATACTTAATACCAGTGGTGTGTTCCAACCCTCCAAGCTCATACACAGACCCTGGACAGCAGATCCTTGAAGTCCCAGTCCTTTGGCTGCTGCTGATGAATGCCAAGTCAGTTAACAAGATCCTCCTCATTTGTGACCTTATTGGGGAGGAACAAGCTGACCTGCCATGCATTACGAAGACTGGCTGACACCAGAAGGGGTAGTTCCCTTCTCAGAGATGTGTCCAGCTGGGTTTGGGGTTTGTTTCCAGGCAGGGAAGGGGGTATAGCAGTTGTCATACAGGAATCTCCTTTGACCATCAGGGGGCCATGCTTCCCAAGTTTCAGGACTTGAGACACTGTTCTTGAAGCTCATGGGATTTTGGGATTTTGCTATTCTGCCAGCCTCCCTGCTGCATAGCAACTTTCCTGCCTGAGCTGCTGGAGGCCATCTCAGGGTTGGCAGTGAAGGCCTACTTCATGGCAGTAAGAGCAGGGAAACATCACTATTTCTCCACTCTTATTGCATACACAGAGTGTAGCCTCTGGCCCGGTTTAAGGTCACCTGATTCCTCCTAGGAAAGAAAGGCTCAAATGAACATTTATAGGGTCATGAGGAGGAATTTGTCCAGCACTTGATGAATAAAATCACTCACAATTTGTTCTCAATTGTAGACCAAGCATAGAGTGAGGTCCATTAAAGATGCCCAGGGGACAGACTTGCCCAGTTATCTGGAAACACTTTGACTCTGTTGCACCTGAGGAAATGGACAGGGTCCTTGGGGGGCTATTAGTGCAACTATTTCTTTATTAGATCCTTCACCCTCCTGCTTGGTAAAAGCTTCCTGGAGGGTGAATTGCAAGTAGGCCCAGGCAGTAATTAATACATCACTGAAGGAGAGGGTATTCCCAGAATCATTGAAGGAAGCCTTGGTTCATTCCTTCCTTAAGAAACCTTAACAACTTTCCATCCAGTCTCCCATCTCCCCTTTTTAGGGAAGGTGGTGGAAAAAGTGTTGCACTGCAGCTCCAGAGGGTCCTGGATGAAATGTGTTATCTGGACCACTTCCAGTCAGGTTTCAGGCCCAGTTATGGGGGGAACGGCATTGGTCACACTTGTAAATAATCTGTGGTGGTAGTAGGATGGAAGTAGTGCAACCATTCTTGCTCTTCTTGATCTCTCAGTAGCTTTCAGATGAATAAAGGTAGTCATATTTATGAAGGATATGCAGGATTTAAATTTTAGAAATTAACACTAAGAATTTTTTGTTTGATCCATACAGTATTGTTAGTTAAATAAAACTATCCATCCACATCTACCTTCATTGCAGAAAAACCATGTTCCTTCTTCATCAAATTTAGATCCACTTCATGCTTGCTTTGTAATTGTTTAATGTTCTGTTTATGTTCTTCCATCATGCGCCCTCTTTCCTTCTGAAGTGAATTATGCCTAAAACATTTGATTACATAACATAGAAGACACAGAAGACATAGACCACAGAAGACCATTTTGATTAAACTAACATGTATCTTTATGTTTTCACACTTAATAATCTTAACAAAATTTGAATTGCATTTATAAAACTATAACTGGTGAAGGCTACTATATTCCATTATCAATAGCTGCATATGATTCATTGTGTATAGTCAAAATTATAGATTAATCAAGTCACTTACTGCTAACAAATCCTATTACAAAAGTAAAGCAGTACCAAAATAAAAATATACAAAATATACTATGCATAAAATATACAGTAAATTTAGTTCAAATCAAACCATGATCTAGATGACATTATAGAATCGCTAGAGAAAGATTTTTTTCCCTTGAATCAAAAATAAGTAATTTAAACTAGATTATCATGGCATATTTTGCTCAGGTTCATTTCATTTGTTTGTGAAATAAAACTTTCCCAATTATTGATTACTTCTGATGTTACAAGCCTTTTCATTTTTCCTCAATAGACCAACACAGGAAACCTTCTACAAGTTATAGCTTTTCCATCACCACCTCTAATTTCAATATTAAAAAAAATATTGGAATCATAAGACCTGATTTTGTCCAAACTTACAATGTTTAATTCACATTGATTCATCGTATCAAAGTGTAAACAATAAATGACTTGACTATTTCACAGTAATGAACTGTGTAGTGAAGTAAAAAAAAGCCAGAGACCTTCAGAAAAGTAAAAATGCAGATTTTATCACTTTTCACATGGTATAGAATTGTTAATTCTACTATAATTCCACAATTACTCAATACCAATGATTAACAAATTGCAATAAAGAATATACCACCATAATTTAAAGGGGAAAAAATCATTAACTACCTTGCCTTAATTTCTTCAAGTTCTAAAGATGCAACCTGGTAAGTCTGTTCCAGATTATTTTTTTCTTGAGATAATTTCTGATGCTGCAAATGACTTGTTTCAGCTTCCATTGTCAACTGATGGACTCGGGCCTCCAGCTCTTTGACCATCTGGTTCTAAATAACGTGAAACGCTATATTAGACATATGTTCATGCACCTATCAGATGCTATTCAGTACGTTATTGACAGATGACTCAGAAAATACTGAGGGATCTCAAAACACAAAAGTAGTTTTATTATTTAAGAAACACGATGAGCAAGTATACAGTTCCTATTTCATTATCAAGCCAAGTGACATCTATGTTCAAACATACGCAACATCAAGAAGGCACCTCATATTCCAGATGTTGCACTTCATTAAGGATGAATCATATTCCAAGTCTGTATAAATTCCAAATAACTTTTAATACATACTTAAAGTAAAGCCATTTGGCAACTATTGCATTAGCCGTATACATTTCAAAAGGGATGACAGACTTCAAAATAATGAATATTCTTCCATTTAAACACAGTTTTTCTGCTTAGTGTTCTGTATTTTTTTTTTAAAAAAAGTAAAATAATGTAGACAGTGAGAGATAAAGAAACTCAGCCCTGTACTACATCTACCATACCCAATAGGAATGGTTGGCTAATAGGGTCTGCTGAGCTTTGGATATGAATCTACAAACTATTTTGGGATAGGTATCCATTTGGTGCCTGTCAGTAGCACGTTTAAGAAGCTGGTTCTTCATGGACTATCACAGCAGCTGTACAACATCAGTTAAGATTTATTTATTTATCATACTTATATGACCAACCATCTCACAGAAGTAATTCTGGGTGGTGTACAAAAATCAATAAAAGCAACAAATATATAAAACAATTATAAAAATATAAAATCATAAAAATGAAAAGACACTATAAAAGTAATGCTGACAAGGTAAAATAAAGTGCATAAGATGCTTTAGAGTGGGTCTGGTTATGATGGTAAGCACTATTTGAATTCAAATACATATTTGGGAGGGATCACATGGCTATCATGAAAAACTAGGAAAATATATAATTTCTTTAAGAATGTCCTAGCAAGCACAGCATACTGCCCCACACTCATTTTGAAATATGTTTGACTTTAGAACCAAAGCACATCACATCTCTGCTTGCTAGTTCCAGCAAGGCATTAGTGGCAGTATAGCCAAGATTATAGGCAACCATTCCTGATTCTATCTCTAGAAAGCAGATTGTCCTCCAAGTCAATGCTTGAGTTTAAGGGCTTGAGGTAAGAAGCAAAAAATTAAGATGTTGCAGCCAGAAAATATTTGGCCAATGAAGCATTCACATCCACTCAGGAAGATATCACTTTGACTTTTGATGGGAGGGCTCAAGAAATTTAGTGAATGACAAAAATGGAAAACTTGAGCTTCTGGTATGGTCATGCTTACTGCAAAGGTGAAAAGGGAAGAATTAAAGCTACAACAAATTCAGATTTCTGTTTTTTTACCTTACTAATTATACAAATGCCTTTAAAGGTATAGCCCTCAACTAATTGGGTTAGCTCAGGGGTAGGCAACCTTGGTCTTTTATGACTCGTGGACTTCAACTCCCAGAATTCCTGAGCCAGCATGGAATTAGCCGTTAAAAACAGGTATACCAGGAAATCTCATCTGACTATAGATAATATAAAAACTATATGGTTCAAAACTGGAAAAGGAACTTGTATCACTCAGTTTATTTAACTTATTTGCGGATTGTACCATTAAAAACATTGGATTATAGAAAATGAATAAAAATCAGAATTAAAATTACTAAGAGAAAATCTCAGATATGGTGATTATATCACTTTGATTGCTGGTAATCAAGGAAGATTTGATAATGACAATGAAAAAAGAGAGTGTAAAACCCAACCTTCTGCTTAATTTTTTTTTTTAAAAAAACTAAGATATAGAAACTTAGAAAATTGATGGCAGGAAAATATCAATAGACAATGCCAAGCCAATGCAAACTGGCTCAAAATTCAAAAAGATGGTGACTAAAACCATGAATTAAGTAAATGTCCGATGCTTAGGAGAAAGACTATGTTAAATCTAAACAAGATATTAAAGTGCAGAGACATCATAACAAAAGTACATATTGTCAAGGTTATAATTTTTCAATTATAACTTACAGCTGTGAAAACAGGACTACCAGAAAAGCTGAACAAAGAAAAGTGATGCCTTTGAATTGTGGTGCTTGAGAAAGTTGTGAATACCTTGGATCCCAGGAAAAATAAATCATTTAATATCAGATGAAGTAAAACCAGAAAACTCATGGAAGTATTAATGATAAATCTAAAGCATAAATATTTCAGAAACATAATGGAAAAAAGAGACAGTGAAGAAAACCTTGATCCTTCAAAAATCAAAGACAAGGCAATTGGAAAAAAAGCAATAGATAACACAATGGCTATTTATCATCACTAATGATATAAGCATCTTACAAAAACTCAAAGAGGCAGCAACTGACAGACAATTCTGATTAAATGTTATCCATCAGTGAACCAAATGACACTTAAATATATAGTTCTACAGTTAGAAAACTACAGCCAACAAGGATTGAACGGATGGGAAATTGTGAAACCACGTATTTGGCTATTGACAAACATGCCAAATACTCAACAGATTTCTAATAAAATAAGTTACCAAAGATGTGAGTTTTAATTAAGGCCATACTTATTAGCAGCAGACAGCCTACATATTTTGGGAATAATACATATGTTTAGAGTTTGTAGATTCCTTTTCCCTTGTTACAGTAGTTTGCCCGAGCAGGCAAACAAGAACTATAGTTTGATCTTCCACAGAAACCCAGATGCCGGATTTTTCTCCCAAGTTGTTAAACACATTGCATAGAGAAAACATACTGGAATGCCACAGCACACATATGATGAAGGTCAAGAAGCTACTATTGTTACTTCATTTATTTGTTTGTTTAACAAGTTAATATTGATATTTCATTTATTTGTTTATTACATTTTTATGTTGCCCATCTCCCCTATAAGGTGACTCCAGGCAGATATGTTAATATAAGAAAATATGTAGGATGAGTTTCTGTAGAAGAAGAAAAAAACATTAGCAACAGGAAAAAATATTCTTACTAAGGGCAAATCCAGCTCAAATAACCTTAAGGTGAAGAAGCGAGCTGGTAATATAACTTAAAGCGTATGCATGTTGTATTTTTTCTAACAATATACTGATAGATTGGAATGCTGCTTATTATTTACTGGGGGTCAACAATTTTATGAACTTGGTGACGGGTTGTGGAATCTTAATTTCTTCAGCTGCAAGCTGCCAAAGTGGTAGTGATAGATAGAAATCAAGAACAGGTGTTTTTTTTTTCTTTTAATTTCCCTTCAACTATTCCAAGGAAATATTCAGAATTATGAACTGGCGAAGGGGTGATACTGGGAGTTGTGTATAGAAAATCACTCACTCAGGAATGTAAGAAATGTGGTAAATGTGTGTGGTCCAATTTCCCAGCCTGCCAGGACTCACCAACTTCCCCACTACTACCCGCCCCAATGCCCATCTATTCTCTCCCAGTCTTCCTCCAACCATGCTGCCTGCCGTCATTCCCAAAAGAAGGGGTGGTGGTGGGGAAAACGTGAGAGAGAAACTGTCCTGATTTTGAAAGGAAGAAACTAAATACTGGTAGCACCCTCCATCAAAAAGGCAGGAAAAATGAGATTCCTTCAGTCAGGAAAAAAACAAAAAACAAGAAACCTTTTTTTCTCCATCTGGCAATCTGAGATTAAAATCAGATCGCAGGCAATAAGAATCCATATACAAATATATTTTGTGTTCTTTCTACTACATAGGGGGGGGGACTCTATTTCTGTGTGTGCCTGTAAGAAAGAGAGTGTCAGTCTCTAACCTTGAGCCAACAGAAGTTACTCCACCTCCACAAGCACAAGAAGGGAAGAGTACCGCTCATATTTTCAAAATTAAATTTAAATTATTTCAGTGTTACTATTTATGGCTTTAATGCTTTTGTTGGGTTTTAAGGATTGTAAGCCACTAGAGTTGTGTCCAGGCGAGATGGGCGGCATATAAATTGAATAAATAAAAACACCCCAATGGTGAAGACGAAGGGACTAGTTAGATTGGCTCATGTATTTCATTAATTCTCATCTTTCTTAATAGGCAAGACAATCAAAAGTCTGTATAAGCACATGTGCAGTAAAGAAATGTACAGTCATTTTTGAGATACTTAGTATTATTCTTGTATTAATATTTCTGCATGTATTTAGAATGGAACCCCCCAAAAGAGTGAAAAGGCAATTAGATGGGAAAAAAGAATAAAAGCTAAGGAAATATTATGTAAATACAAGTAAAGATAACTTTTAAAAATTGCCTTAAAAGAAAGGCTGTATATAATCTTAATAAGGAACATAATTAGGTGCCCCTCTGTGTAAAGAAAATATATATTAAGGGGTAGAGGGATTATTGTTTATTATAAAATGTTATGATATATTGATAAGGTGATATATAATTGGTGATTGAAAGCTAAGAATTGAAGAGAAGGCAAAGTTTTCTTTTCTTTTTCTTATTAAGATTAAGGGATTGGTGAAGATGGATTGGTTATATGTAGATAGATTATTGTAGTTTATATTTGATTTTTTTTTTTAATGAGTTAAAGTATGTTTATATTAGATTAGTTTATATTGGGTAGTTTTATGTAGACTTAGGAAAATGAGTGTTTAATCCCGTAACCAGTTCTGGGAAGTCTGGGGGGGGTTGGGGAAAGGGATTTCTTATGTATTTTGGTATACTAGAATGGTAATGAGATAAGAATGGACGCTCGGTTGACCTCCAGGAACGCATCTGGAAGAGGAGGAGGGAAGGAGGGGGGATG